AAATCTATCTATCTATATCTATCTATATCTATCTATATCTATCTATATCTATCTATATCTATCTATATCTATCTATATCTATCTATATATATCTATATATATATATATCTATATTATATATATATATATATATATATATATATATATATATATATATATATATATATATATATATATATATATATATATATATATGTAGGATATATTGTGTATATTCTGCAGCGCTTATATAACCAAACGTGTATATAGTTAGTTACTAGTGTATACAGGGAGCGTTTGAGTGAATTTCAAAGAGTACACAGCGTATATTGTGTATATACTATTTATAGACTGCATATGCAGAATATACTGTACATATATTATCCGAATATAGTCAATAGTGTATATGGAGATATAGTGATGCCTAAGACCTCGCATTTGTAGGGGGTCTGTGGGTATCCTCCTCCGGGAAAATTTTGAAATCTACGAACTCCGAAATGCGATTTCCTGCGTTCTGAGCAAACTTTTTTGTTCCAATTCATACATCAGAGTCACAAAATTATTTGCTGCATTTTTGGAAAGCACATAAAATACTTGAATCTATATCGCAAAAACAACATAATTTCTCCATATAAGAAAAAATATTTGCTTGTCCAAGTGTAATAGCAGCAGTGGTACATAAGTCTCTATTCAAAAATAGTCAGTACTGTGCTTCTTGAAGCCTTAACTTTTCTATTGAAAAACATTTTGGCAAAAAATCACGTCAACGCAAATAAACACATACGTTTAACAAAGGTGTATACAGTGTGATCCACTGATTGCATTGCTGGACTCAGTGTTATTATGTTTTTTAACCACCTTTCCTGAGGCTTATTAATTTCCACTCATTTCCAATGTTCCATGAGTAAAATCATCTAGCATTAGAATGGTGCATAAAGGTATTTTGTGTTCTAGTGGGTAAACTTATTTAAATACAACTCTGTCTTATGCTACTAATCTTACTCTCTATGGACAGTTTGGTTGGCATTAGTTGGTCAATTTCATTTTCCCCTAGCAATAGCTGCCTTTGATATGAACTGCATGGTGAATAGTCCACACTCTGAATTACTGCGAATATTGCCCTGTGACCAGGAAACCAGTAAACTAACACACAACAAGCACTGGGTTATAAAATTCTATAAGTATAACTAGGTAACATGACCACAAACTTTAAATCAATAGATATAGTGATAGTGTGGGTAAATTGATTTAATGAACTATCTTAGTTGGAAATTGTTTGTCAAATGAAACTACGAAACTGTACAATGATAAACAATATATCATGACATAAATGAATCATCAGATGTCTTCTATCTGTCCCCTTTTGCCTGCCTTTCAACTAATATTAATATAGTACTCTTTTAAGATGTTGTCAATGTAGAAAGGCTGCACAGTAGTATTGATCAATATTTTCCCTGTGTTATTATATAAATGCACATCTTTGTCAAATATATCCATACACTTATCAATGGTAATCCTCAGGGTGCCATGCTGGCTATCCAAAACATAGTATTGGGACAATTAGCACTACAAATATATAATTTAATTAAATATATTTCCAAACTATCCCACTTTTGTGAGCAAATTTCATAATCATAACCTATATACACCAGTTACAGCTATATACAGTATTTATACCGTCCATCATAAGATTAAAATCTAAGATTAAAATCTGTCAAGAGAATGACATATACAGCTTATATCAAATTATATTGTACAGACAAAGCATATATACTCAACTATGGTAGGTGAGCAAGCCCAGGTAATCATCTTTGTTTGCAAAGTATCCAGAGTATATGTTCAGTAATTGCCCAATAACTCAGGCAATGCAAAGCAATTAGACCCTTGTAATGAGGCATGCCAGCTCATTTCCATATAAAATGAAAATGAAATCTAATACAGTAGGAGATACCACTGGAACTTGCAACTGGAACCAATTACCTTTCATGTAAACTCCCCATAGTCTTCTAACCAATATTGCATCACTATTAGAAATCTCATTCATTAACCTGCAATATTATTATGCACTGTAATTAAATACAGAACCTGATGCAAGTCTTGACACACATCAAAGCTTTATGTTTAGTACCGGTATCCAATCAAAAAGTGCCAGGAGAAATGTCAAATTATTTCACATAAATTAACAACAAGCTAAATATAGTTACAATCACTATTTAATCTATAATTATTTAATTATATATAGCATTAACCAAAATATGAAACAAAAATACACTAAACATGGCATGAATACTCATGCTAGAGGTAGCCAATCAGAGTTACAACCATAAAGGCAGTTGTAGGACACAAACGTTTAATAACATGTGACTGTATCAGATCTGCATTTTTCTTTGCCCGCCAGCTGTGAGAAAAATGAAGGTCTGGGCACAGGTTATAATCCCATGTAAACAGAGATAAAATTTTCTTCAGTAAAGCAAGCTGTCAAGTTTGGTATTGGGGCTGGTTTGCCTCCAGACAAGAAAACCTCTGTAATGACTGTAAAATGTCAAATTACCTCACCCCCCCTGCTGGTATAAACAACAGTACTAAATAGACACAAACTTTAATTATTATGTTAATACATACACATCTACATTAACTGTAGATCCAATTTTCCACTTTATACACTTCTAGAACTGAACAATGTACTAAAATGTAAAGTATAGATAAATTCCACTTACTTGAGAGCCCTAGTGGGCATCTCACATTCTCACAGTATAAATATACTTAAATTCTTGTACTCAGTTGATAGATTAGATTCATTCCAAGCCTAGCTTGGTAATTAATTCGACAGTAAATTATTTGTTCTTCGTCAATTTCGAGGGATATTTCTTCGCATTATTTGTTCACTTGCATATAGTATTTGCATATCCTTTCCGCCATGACTTGAATCGAATGCCTCGTTACGTCACAGTAAATTTTGATTTTGCAATTTGCATCAGTGGACCGATGCGAGCGCCCGCAATCTTCATGCGATGCACCGCTCAGCGGACAAATCTACCGTGACGTAATGGATTTGATGATGTCACAGTAGATTTCACGCGGAAAAGGACTCGGGACTGATGCATTCACTGATGTAAAATGGCTGAAAATCGATGCAAACCAAATCTACCGTGACGTAGGTGATGCATCAACTTTCTAGTGTGACGTCAAAGGATGCGGTAAAAAATAACATATTTTGTCGCGAAATTGTGACCTTCCATGGGAAGACATACGTTAACGATTTTGCATTAAAACGGGCAAAAAAACGGATAACGAACGGATAGCAAACGCTTTGTGAAATCGTTTTAACGGATCCTCCAAACGTTTTAGACGTTTTGAGTAAAAAATACGAACGGATGAAGACAAAAAATTTAACGCCTCTACGAAAGGCTTTAAGAAACCGTTCGAACGGAATTAAGAAACCGTTTAAACGATATTCGACGACCGTTTCAACGGATCTGCACAGAATGGTATAAAGCAGTGAACAACAATAATATACAAAGACGTCAGTACACTGATCCAGAATTAACAACCACGCATTTATCCAGTAGAATATAATCACAAACAAAATAGATCACTTTGGTATTTATAAACGTTTCAAGTTTTATCGATTTCCGTTTTAACAAAATAAAGGCGCTAAAAAGTGGTTTCGCAGTAAGTCTAAAGACAAACAGTTACCGGACATGTGGCGGTGTTTTTGCATAACACAACACAACCTAGCCGACCTGTCGCGTGTTGCATTGCCTTTGTATTCTCTACTGTTAAAGCCTGATTCTCATAAGTCGCTGACGCCGGCGATGCCATTGTTTGAGATCAGTGAAGAAGAACATAGACAAAAGACTCAATCAATGATCAACGACAATGGCCATCGCTGACGCCGGCGACATATGAGAATCAGGCTTAACGCGACTATATACGCAATATATAATAGTCATCAGGCCTAAACTAAGCGTATTGTAGCTATGTACATGCACATACGAAACAAGCAAATATTCTCGACATAGTCTAGGTAAGAAATTTTGCGTAGAATGTATTGACAATTTTTTCTTGATTATTCATAATATCAAAAAGGATATTAAATTAATTAGCGTGATATGTATAATATATACTTATACAAGATTATGCATGAAAATATAGGCAGACAAGAACACCAGAAAATAGCAAATTCAAAGTTGGATAAAAAGAACATGAACTCGAACTCGCGGGAAGTGTATATATAGTTGGGATTTAGCGATCACACATTGTGGTTTTGAGCATGCAGCGATATAACTATTATAAGACAACAGCTAGAACTATTATCTGTGCATGTTGATGTGAGTGCTATACATATTGTCTCAATTATAGCATATGGGGTATTGTGGCTCAGTATGACCTCGAGTATGACTTGTTTGATATTGTGGACACATTTCTGTCAAACATCGGGTGTCCATTGCATGCTTATAATGTATACGTGTCGGTAATTTCCTCTATAATTGCTGCCGCAGCGAGCGAGCCTTCAGCGAGCGAGCGAGGCAGCAGAATCTAACTCATGCAGCTGGCAAAATTCTCAATTTTTGATTGACAGATAGACCCACAATGCAATTTCACAGGACCCAAAATGCAATGCGCGAGATTAATATAAAATAAGGC